GGAATGCTGACTGTGTGACGTGCAGTCAGAAGGACTTTGGCTTTTGATCTTGCTGTACTTTTGAGAGAGCTATTTCCTTACCTCGGTGTGCTATTCAACCGCGTGCTGGTATTTCAAGTCTCATTTTTTCTTCAGAAATAAATGCTAAGGGAGAAGGTTTGTGTATCTTATAATCTTGCCACTTTGCCCATGAACCTTTTAAATTCATTGATCTGGAAATGTAACACTTCTAGCACAGTTCATTTGCTAAGAAGTATAAAAGAAAATAAAAATGTTGTTAGCCTACCGGTCTGTCTTATCAGCTTTGTGGTAAGTAATTTTAAAAATGAGAACTGCATATGATCTTTAAACTATCAAATCCAAGTAACAGCAAAAAATCTTAAATAGTTTTGTTCTTTACAATAAACTGTATAACATGTAGAAGCTTTATTAAGTGATCTCTAAAGTTCTTGGAGTTCTGGAAGCCTTGTGGGTTTGGGCAGGCTCTTCCATAGCTGTGGTCTGCTGGAATTCAGGTGCTCCAGACCTGGGGGATCTCTGATTGAATCAGTGGGTGAAGGATCCAAACAAAGTAGACTCTTCCTTGTGGAAGTCTCTGGCTAACACACTGACGAAGGTTGCTGGTGTTCTTGACTGTTTTTCGTTGAAAATTATTTTTTAAAAATAATTAAGATTTTTTTTTTTTTCACACCTCAAAGCTATGGTGGAAATTTTTGCCATGAAACAAGTTGGAAATACTACAATGTAAAGTTTCTCATTAGAATAAATGGAGATTTTTCCATGCTGGCAAGTCTAAGACATGTCAAAAAAGGAAAAGACAAACAAACAGAAAACCAAACCAAACCAAAACCTGACTGGAACTTGTAGTTTGGTCAGCTAGACTACAGCTGCTACAATGTACTCTGGGTTCTAGCCTGTACTAGTTGCATTGCCTATCAAGTGTGGTAATTTTAAACTTTGTATTGATGAATCCTATGCAGCATATGTCAATGATTCTAAGATGTTTCAAGATAAAAGATGCAGTAAACAAAAAAAGGACTGTATTTGTAATCTTGCTAACAGGTACCATACATTTTTGTAATTAGCTTGGATCTGACATCAGCACAAAGGAATGCCTGGTTCTTCAGCGTGCCTCTAGTTCTTTCTTTCCATGTTTTTCCTTCTGGTTCCTTCCATTTTATTCCCTGTCCTTTTCCTTATTCCTGTCATCTTTTCCTCCTCTTTTGTGTTTAAATTAATTCCATATTGATTTCTTGTTTGTCTTTACCAGAAGTTTCTCTTTTCAGGCTAAGGTGTCTCTATGTGTGCTTCATCTTTGCACCTCTCATTATGAAGTCTGTTTAACTGAGCAGGTGTAGTTTGCAACTCTAATACCCCTTGTGGTGTTTTTTATTAACTGTAGATGCTTCGGGAGCACAAGTCTATTATTATTCAGAAACACATAAGAGGTTGGCTGGCTCGAGTGCACTACTGTAGGACCTTGAAGGCAATTGTTTACTTGCAATGCTGTTACCGGCGCATGATGGCCAAGAGGGAGCTAAAGAAACTGAAGATAGAGGCCCGGTCTGTTGAACGCTACAAGAAGCTTCACATTGGCTTGGAGAACAAGATCATGCAGCTGCAGCGAAAAATTGATGAGCAGGTAAAAGCTCCCTGGCCTCAGGGAAAATACTTAGAAATCTTGTATTACCTTCTCAGTAGCACTGTGGGTGTTCATAGAAAAATGCACTGAGTTTTCATTGTAAAGTATCAGTTCTCTTTTCTGCTGAAGGACACTGATAGAAGAGAAAGGGAGGCCACAGTAGAACTGGAACAGTAAAGCACCCGTTTGTGTCTCTCAGCAGCACTGAGAGAAAACATCTGTTCCCTTGACATCAGTATTTCATCTGAAGCACATCGCTTGCTCTGTTTAAGGGCAAGGTGAGGTGATCATGTTTGATGTGTGTGGGCTCCCTGTCTGATTTTAGTTTGGGATGTTAATGTGCAGGCTTAGAGACTGGACTGTTCAGTTACCTCGTTAAGCAATTCTGCAAAAACAGACTGAAACTTTTTGGAAATGGAGAAGCTGCTCTTTTGCTCCCGTGTCTGGGTATATCCTGTAGGGAACTAGAAGGCTTCCTTAAACCAGAACTTCTCCAACAGTGCCTATGCCTGTGTTGTGTTTTGCAAAGAACAAAGAGTACAAATCTCTGCTGGAGAAGCTGAGCAACCTGGAAATCACGTACAGTACAGAGACAGAGAAGCTGCGGAGTGATGTGGAAAGGCTTCGGATGAGTGAGGAGGAGGCTAAGAATGCGACCAACCGTGTCCTCAGCCTTCAGGAGGAGATTGCCAAGCTCCGGAAAGAGCTGCACCAAACTCAGTCTGAGAAGAAGACCATTGAGGAATGGGCAGACAAATACAAACATGAAACCGAGCAGGCAAGTATGCAGTCTCAGATGCATGAGAAGATTTATAGGGGCCTGGTGTCCACTCAGGTTTTTGCCCAGGCTTAACTGCTTCAGTTGTGTGGCTGATATTTTTACAGTATTTTTAAGCAATATTATACCTGTAGAATCCTAAATAGGCTTGATACCTCAATAACTACACCTATGGCAGAAGAGTGTACTAAATCTATATATTGTATGTAAATATATGTATTCAATCTATTCAGATTTTGATATTGAGAGTATTTGCAAATCCAAATACTTAAGCTTCCTCACTTAGTCAGAGGTAGCGCATTCATAAAAAGAAATCATTTTACCTATAGAGAGTGCAATCACATAAGTATCAGAAATCTATCCCATATACGGTATTCAAAGGTACCTGCTCATTTCCTACCTAATTTAATCAATTAGCCTACTAAACACATGTATGTGTGCACAGTCTAGTTCAACAAGTTTTGACTAACCCCTCATCTTTGCTTTAACCACAAACATATCAAACAGGTTGTTTCCTTTCAAGATTACTTGCTGATAATGGTGCAAGTTTCAAATATTGGAAGAGCCATTCCATCATTATATGATGCTGCAGTGATACATTTCAAATCAGATAAACATAAGGAAAACTGTTAATTGATTAAGCAAAGGGAATGAATAGTAACCTTAATCAGAGACAAATGAGTAACTGGCAAACCTGGGCATGGTTAGAGGCACAACTTTTGGGCAGAGGCAAGATATTAGATTATGGTGTTACCCAATGCAATAGAATATAAACCAGAACTACCAATTTTGTTCCTGTTTTAGGAATATTTCTATTTTAAGAAATAAATTACATCTTTGGGACTTCACTAAAAAAATATGGCACAGTGGAGTGGTTCAAGGCAGTTTTGGCACCTGATCAGAAATGGAGTGCAGAACATACAGGGGAATCTGCAGTGGGACGTACCTTAGACATGTAATTTGGGAAACGAAGATGTCATAACTTAGTTCACTGATTTCATTCTCTGAGAAAAAGTTTATATATTTGAACTCTTACAACAAGGGTGTAGTTGCTGTTAGAGCTACTGATGAAAGGTGAACTGCATTCCAAGTCAAATATTTTATTATCTCTGTAGCTGGTATCAGAACTGAAGGAGCAGAACACATTACTGAAAACAGAAAAGGAGGACCTTAACCGCCGCATCCATGACCAAGCGAGGGAAATAACAGGTTGGCTCTGTTCTCTTCACTCGGGTTTTCTGCTTCATGTTACCTTGTGAAGCAACGCTCTGCTGCATAGATTGGGCTAATTTGCCTTAGTTTGCATTCCTTTTTAGTTTAATGGTTTCATTTCTTTGTTTTAAGAACTCGTATGCACCAGAACATTTTACTATTTGAGTTTTCATGAAGTCCTAAGGCTTTGGGATCTTTTTGGTGACTGTTACAAAGCTTTTTACTTTTAAAAAGATGACTCTGATATTTAATACAATTAACCTACTGCAGCTCTTCTGGCTGCTGTGACTACGTAGACAGCAGCCAGAAGAGCGTAAGTCTAGATGTGAAGGCTGTGATGGAGGCAGCTGCGATGGGAGGGTCAGCATGCTTGAGGCTTAAAGCATCTCACATTTTGCTTTTTACATAATGCAGCACCAGGCTAGTGCCCCTTCTTCGTCCCTCCTGGAATTAGTAATGCAAGGTATTAGCAGAATAAATAACTTGACTGAGTGAACCCTTCTGTGGTTACCACAATAATGCTTTGGCCCTTCGTATATTTGGCTTAATGTTCACCTATAGAAGCACAAATACCACACATCAGCTTCAAACAGCAGACTGTTCCACCATCTGTGTTCCTAGTGCAGCTGCATGCCTGCACCTCCAGGATGGATGCACTGCATGGTAGGTAGAACTGGAGTTCTCACTTTGGATTCCTGTTCTCTGTGGCAGAAACGATGGAAAAGAAATTAGTGGAGGAAACGAAACAGCTAGAACTAGATCTGAATGATGAACGGTTACGGTACCAGAACCTGCTGAATGAGTTCAGCCGTTTAGAGGAGCGGTATGATGACCTCAAGGATGAAATGAACTTAATGGTGGTAAGTGGCTAAACATCTGGGAAATCAAAAGCTGTTCACAAATGTGTTTAGGCAGAAGCTAGTGGTGTAAGTTAGTAACTGACTGTGCTGTCAGCTGGGTGGTGGTGACCTGTACCTGAAAAGACAATTTGTCCTTTTAAATATTGGTTAATTAGATTAGCTCAGCCAAAACAAATACATTTAAAGTTTGTGGTTTATTTTTCTAGATTATATCTTTATTTTCACATTTGTGAAAGAAGGCTAAATTTCTGCTGTGACTTTGCTAGTAGTATTGCACATGCTGTCCACTCTTATTTTGCCCTGAAGTTATTCACGCGTGCTAGGGTTGTTTGTACCACATTGATCCAGTGTTAAATTTTAAGAAGGTCTAGGAATATTTTATGTGTCAGGAAGAAAAAATATTCCTCAATACAATGTCTGGGAAGTTAGAGAATTGCTGCCTGTGCTTCCTGTAAACCGAGCTTTTCTTTCCCACAAAATGCTGCATTGTTGCTTGACTGTGCTTTCTGCAGCAATACTTGATGGTGTAGGATCTGACCTGGCTCCATAGATTTGATTGTGAACTACATCTCATAGGCTTTAGGTGGCATGAGAGACCAGAATCAAAAATCTTTTCTTCTAAATTTTGATAGCTGTGAAATAACACCAAATATTACAAGCTAAATTATAGGTTGTGAAGAGACAGTCACAGGCAAGACTATATATTGGTATTGATTTGTTTCATTTGCACTCCAGAACATCCCCAAGCCTGGGCACAAAAGAACAGATTCAACACACAGTAGCAATGAATCGGAATATACTTTTAGTTCTGAGATCACAGAAGCGGAAGACTTACCAGTGAGGACAGAGGTAATGTTAAAAAAAACCCACAACTTTTCATTGATCAGTGGTTGAACTTATTCCTATCTCTTCTTTGTATGTGCTTGTGAACACCATATCCATATAGTGAGATATCTAATGCTTCAATCCCACTTTTTCCATTTCATTCTTGAAAACAGCTCATTCTCTAATTAGTTGCGGTTCTATGTAAAAAGACTTTGTGAAAGTATGCTTTGAATTCTTCTGTATTACAGTAAGCATAGACTAGATACTTGGCCATCCAATTGATTTGCATCTGTAAAACATTTGCTTGCCAGCATTTTCTAAGTACAATCACTTTTTCAGCACAGAGTGGGAATTCAGAAAACCAGTGAGACTTCCTGAGAAGTCTGTATACTGTATATTCAAGGATTAAAAGTGTCAAGGTGGCTAGCCACATTCTTAGTAGCTACATGAAATGAGTTCCCTGTTAGGGGTGAGAACCTCATGTTGATTCTTTTTTCCTCTATTTCATAGAGATGAATAAATCTCCAAGAATGTACTATCCCTTTGCATATGCAGTGATACAAATGCCAGGATATTTTAAAAATTATCAGAAAGATGCCTTTCTTGATTCAGCTAATGAATAATAATGAATAATTTGTGGTGCAACTCCAAGCCTTTCTTAGTATTTTCCAAGATAACTCCCCCTTTTGGCCCTCCCAAAGAAACGGGACAGCTAACGCAGCAGAAAGCCACCAGGCTGGTGGTCTGAGCATCCTTGGCAGCTTGCAGATGCAAAGCTTTTCCAGTGTATTCTAGAGATCTGTGAGCCATCATGCAGCTCTGTCTAGGCTAGTTATCTCCAACAGTTGCTTTTTACAGGCTGTCATTACTGTTTTTGGAAGCCTCTGCAGAAAATTATTTTCTACTATGGATGCAAATACACACATTGATGCTGACACATACTCCATGTGGACTCTCTCATAATTTGCCTTCCTGCTTACGTTTTTCACCTTGCATAATTGTTTTAGAAAGATGCTCCTACCTTCATGGACAGTCAGGAGAAGGACAGTGCAACTACATGTGATTGGATTTCACATGAGCCAAATGTCATCTTTTCCTTTGGCTAATAGACTTACTGAATTGCTGTTCTAGAGCTGGTTTTAGTTTTCAGAATATAAATGAAAAAAATTAACTCACACAAGAGCGTGAATAAATGTACCACTGGAAGATTAAATCTGTATTTGTCTAACCCCTTAAGATTTCAAACTCCAGTGTGACTCTAGACTAACAATATAGATTAACGATACAAAACCACATTAAAAAATAGGGTCCATCTCAATACGAACCAGTAAAGCCAGAAAACTCAGTCTGTTTTCTTTTTCCTGAGCTGTTGGTGTGGTTTATGACTCTTCCCCTCAATAGTAAAAGGAGATGAAGTGGAAATGGCTGTGCTTGCTTGTCTGCTACAGCCATTAATATTAATTTTCTAGTTCCTTTTCTAGGCTTCAAAATTTTATGGTGCACTTCATAGTAAATGCTTTGATCTTCTTGCTACATAAAGTACAAAATGGCTGATGGACAATCTCTGATGCACCTTCAGATTACAAACACTGGTCCTTGCCCAGAAAATAGTGAGAAAGCTAGCGGATTAGGCCCAGAACAGGGTGTATAATTAGAATAACAAAAGGAAAAATGTACAAAATATATCTTCTAGTACCTATTTATGTCACATCCCACTAAATTAACCTGTAAAGGTACAATCAACGGAGAGATTTCTCTGTAGCTGAAGAACTTACTGTAGAAATAATTTTAAAAAAAGAAACAAAGCCTCTATTTACAGTTGTTTCCAGGTGAGCCTAACCACAGACTTTTTTTTCCTCCTTTCCCCCTCCAAACAAGTAAGAATAAAAGGTATGCTTAATTATAGATCTCCTGTCTGCTAGGTAGTCTCTAGTGCTATCTCTTGCTAGGCTTTAGGCTTAGATATGTTTTATACTAGTAGATCCTTTTTAAAAATAGCATTTGACAGCTGATGAAATATTTTAGATGCCGATAGTCAACTCTCAGAATCAAGTAACGTTTCTGTGTTCCTTTCTCTCCCCAGTCTGTTTCCCATCTTTACTCACTGTAATGCTTCCTTGTGATGTGGAAGGGGAATACTTCTTGACTTCCTTCTGTTCTTTCTAAAGCAGGAACCAAGTGAGAAAAAGGCACCATTGGATATGTCTCTGTTCCTCAAGCTGCAGAAACGGGTTACGGAGCTGGAGCAAGAAAAGCAATCCCTGCAGGATGAACTGGACAGAAAGGAAGAACAGGCTCTCCGTGCTAAAGCTAAGGTGGACTCCTTCTAGCTGATCAAATGCTGACGCCTCAGTATCCCTTCCTGTGAAACAGTGGCTGTGTGAATGCTGACTGGCTTCTACTAAATCCGTATCTTCCTCTAGTACTTGCTTTATTTAACGACAAGTTTTATGCCTGGTGCTTAGTGCTGGTTATTTAGTTTTCCAAGGTCCTTGAGATCCTCTGATGGAAGTTAACAGGAACAAAATATGCTTAGGACTTTGCTTAAAAAAAAAAAAGAAAAAAGGTTGGTTTTATTAAGGAATGCCAATATACAAATTCTACTTAAATGTTGGGGAGAATGAGTAGTTGTTTGTTTTAGGCAGAATAAGAAGTGTTTCAACCAGGATGCAGAGCCAAAGCACTGGGATTACACTTGAAATTCTCCTCTGATTTGGTCTCCTTAAGTACTTATAAAATTACAAAACCAGTTTTGGCAATTGTTTCTTATTACTCTTCCATCAGTGAATTTCTTGAGCATCCTGGCATTCATCCTGCTCCGTTTCATTACCAGTGTCAGTAGTGTGATTTGTACATGATTTTATTTATATTAACCAATTATGTGTCATAAATCCGTAAGTAAATGAAAGGAGACAATGCCAATATTCAAACTAAAGCACTCAGCAGTACCAGAATGGGTGTTTCCCAGTTTTATAGGCAAATAATTTCCACTCCCTTTCCTTTTTCCTGCCTCAACTAAATTAAAGAATAGAAAGGATTGGATTTTATTTTTCAAACTTTCTGTATTCTTTCATAGGAAGAGGAAAGACCTCCAATAAGAGGTGCAGAGTTGGAGTATGAGTCGCTCAAGGTAATTCTAAAAAAGAGGTTTCTGTTATTTTCTAGTGAGAATATTGACACCAGTTGTATGTGCTGGCATAGGAAATTACATCAGTCCTTCTGTTGCAGAATATCAACTGGAGAAACTATACAAAAATTCCTCAGCACAGTTCTCTGTTGAAACACTTAGTACAGCTTGCAAGTTAATTTGAGCAAAAATACAGCAATAAATGTAGCCCTTTTTTCCAAACACATTATTTAAATTAATGCATGCCTTAGACCACTAGAACTAAAAATATTTCCTAACATCACTGAATGATGCAGAATCTTCTTAGCCTGCTGACCAGTACTTGTTGTGATCTTTATTTTTTTGTTAAGGGGAGAATAAGAGGAAAAAAAGATAGGTAATTTTTTTTCCTTCAAATCTGTATGATTCATTTATATGTGTTCTGATTTTGCACTTCAGACAAAAGGTTGGCGTTATTAGTGAAATCCTCCCAGGCACTATTCACCTTAGTCAAGAGGCCAGGGATACAGGAGACACTGATTGATTCGTTGCAGTTGCTCATTGTTTTTACTGTTTCTAGCCATAGTTTTGTACCTGTGGTTTATGGGCATGTTGGAATGCTGCTGGGTGACGGAATTGTCCCTATTTCTTGCAGCGTCAAGAACTTGAATCTGAGAATAAAAAACTGAAGAATGAGTTGAATGAGCTGCAGAAGGCTCTCACAGAAACGCGATCTCCAGAGGTAACTGCTCCTGGTGCCCCCGCATATAGAGTCCTCCTGGATCAGCTGACTTCTGTAAGTGAAGAGCTTGAAGTACGCAAGGAAGAAGTCCTCATCCTGAGGTCTCAGCTTGTTAGCCAGAAAGAGGCAATTCAACCCAAGGTAAATAATAGTCAGCAGATGCACTGTGTAATATAAAGTTACATTGCATCGCTGACATGCTTTATTTGATTTAACAGCGTGCTTGAAAAGGCAGAATAAAATGGTCTAGGTTTGGAAGCCTTTCTAAGTGTAATCTGTTGGTCCATTGTGAGTTCACAAACTACAGCAGTCTGAATTGGGAGATTCTATTAATAAACCCATTTTGGCTTTGTCTGCCAGCATTCATATAAAGATACCATACTGACCACAGCAGGCTGGCAGATACCAATAGTCTGGCCGGGATCTCCCCAGATGCATTTAACAGTGCAGAAATAATTCTCATTTGGAGCAGTATCATTTTTCTAGTGAGTATGTAGTTTGACTGGAAAATTTACAGTAGTTCTCAGGAATTCTTTTTAATTATTAGTTTGGTAGAAGGTACAAGAAACAATTTCTTCTAAGTCTATGCGGGGTCATAGATGATTGCAAATAAATAACATTTCATAAAGATGACCTATGAAGATAGATAAATTCCATATTATAGCTTGATAGGTGCTATGTGATTTTGTTGAGAAGAGTAGATTACAACCACTGAAATGCCTATCTTCTAAAAAGCTTTAATTCTGGTGAAATATTTGGGGAAGTAATAGCTTTGAAAATAAGAGTCAGTCAGCCTGAAAAGGTATCACATAAATCCAGGAACTAGTAATTTCCACTGAACAGAGCTATCTAGTGTTTCATAACCACAGCAAGGAATGAACAGATACATCATCTTCCCTTTGCTACTGCGAAGTTATGTTTATATTTGTCCTAAATAAATTGAAAGTCTATGATGCATGCAGGTGTACATATCTTTTTTTAAACGATTAATTATAATGAGAACAAAACTCATTTTTCTGTAATATTTAGAACACTGTCAGTAAATTCTTGAATAGTAAATCCTTGAATAGCTTATTCTCAGCAATGGTGGGATATGAGTGTTGTTTTTACAGCAGTTATGAGCATGAGGGAAATATGAAGGTGACCTGTGGGATGGCTAACAGCCAGTTTGCAGATAGCTTCTGCTTGTTAGGTTGGACAGCTGCAGCACAGATTTTTTGTTTCTAATGATTTGTTTTTCTTCTTTCTTGCCTACCAATTTGATTGCCAGGAGGATAAGGTACACATTTTCTTCTACAGTTATAAACCAGAACTCCTAAATGCTAAAAAAAAATACTCAACAATACTTGAGCTGTCAACTGCCTGCCTCTCATCAGTAACCTACATGTATTTGAAGTTGTTCTTGCACTTTACTTTGCTGTTATTGAAAAAACCTTTCTCACTGTCCTATGTCCCCCATGTCCCCATCTTCCCGCTCCGCGCAAGGGAACAAGTTATTTCAAAACAAGCAGATTTAACAGTTTTGAACTTTTGTTTATGGTAACCTGAACATGAAAGGAAAGATTCAGGAACTGGTCTAGTCAGCTCAATGTATCTTGCTGAGTGTGTTAGGAGAGTAAGAGCAGCACTGATTCAGGAATCGGATCTCTATTAACTTGCAAATTCCATACATTTCACAAAAAAAAGCGTGGTATGAAGAACTACCTTACGTTATAGTGTTTGTTACACTCTGAATGCAACAAACATTCAGGACTCACGTTGTGATCTGTAGATATTAGATAGGAATTGCTGAATGTTTGATTAGAAAATGTAGTTGAACACATAGTATTTGGGAGTATGAGAAACTGAACTGACTCAAAGTGAAGGCTGTTAATTCAAATATTACAACTACAGCAAGTAGGATATTCTTGATGATATAAGAGTAATTAGAATTTCTTTCCATCAGCGCAAAAATAATAAATATGTTCAGACTACTAAAGCTTAATAGATTGGCTGGTGAGATACAGTTTTACTGTGTAATAAAATAACAGTAGAAAAATCACAAAGATCTCATAAGGATGTTGGGAATAAATCTTTGAGGAGCTTATATATTTTACTGGTTTTCATATTAGATAATGTGAATCATACTAGGCTTAGAGTCCTAGAATCCAAAATTTATGTCCACAAAGTTGTTATTTTAAATACTTCACAAAATTTTACTCAGGAAAATAGCATTTGATTGTTTTGAAAGTCAAAAAGAAAAGTCAGAATTCCATCTCTTACGTTCATGAGAGTCCAGTGGTTCCACTGTAATTATTCCACAGCAGTGACGCAGATCAGACTGTGACTGTAAACTTCTGTTAAGTATTTGAAGTTTTACTGAAGAAAAAGCAAAAGTGCCATAGAAAACATTTAAAGCTGAGACAAAATGATATTGTGATGATATCTAACTTAAAATCTCAAGCCCTTGTAAATTATTTCCTGCTTTGCCGAAGTACTTAAAATATGTGAAGTGAGGAATGGACCTTATTTATGAGATTTGAAAGACTACATGTAATGCCATGTTTAAGAAATATTAATGGAATTAAGCTTGAAAAATTATGCTGCTTCAGTTTCAGTATTAGCAGCTGTTCCTGGTAATTTGAAATGAAATGCAAATTCATCATTTCATGAAATTTATTTTGTTCCTTTTACATAATGAGCAAATGAAAAGAGGTTAACACATGTACCCGCTTATTAGACAGACTGATATTTGACCATGTTGCATGCAATCATTTTAAAAACTATACCAAATGTACATAGAAATTATTGACCAACCTTCTGCTCAGGTACCCACACTAATTTTAATGTGGCTACTCAATGATTAGTGTTCCATGTGGGTAAAGTGACGAAAATATGGATTCAAAGAGCAATTACATTGTTTAATTTACCCTGGAACTCATCTTTCCTTTTCCAGAATACCATGACAGATTCTACAATCCTCTTGGAGGATGTACAGAAGATGAAAGACAAAGGAGAAATAGCACAGGCGTATATTGGACTGAAGGAAACAAACAGGTACAAGTTCTCTTTATTTAATCTACGATCCGTTGGGGTCTGCTGTGATACACTGTGTCTATCATATTCAGTAAGTTGCATCCATGTAAGTCTAGATACTTAGAGAACACTTGTAGTTGGGGTTATAATTTGATTTGATTAGTAAAATTGCTGTACGCAATATTTGAAAGGATTAGGAAACAATGGGGAAATGCAAAATCAAGCTTTCCAGATTTACAGATCTTCTTAGCCTTTAATTGCTACATTGCTCAAACTGGGTGCCATTCCCCATGCTGGTTTTTTACCTTTTATCCAGTAGTTGTCACAATAATCTGTCACAATACATTTATTGTAACAGCATGAAATGCTGTAACCAGTTGGGCTAATGCAGAGAACTGAATTTCATCATTAACAAGAAACATGTGTAAACAAGAGACATAATTTGCTAAGTTGTTTTAGGGTATTGTTTGTTTCTCGTTTATAGTAACTGTAATTTAGTATATAAAGTCCTTAACATGTCATCCCATCACCATCATGTATCTCTCTTGTATTTTTTTAAAAACTTTTCTTGAAAGGCAATCTCCCCAGGACTATCATATGCTGAATGAGGATGGAGAACTTTGGCTGGTTTATGAAGGGTTAAAACAAGCCAACAGGTTACCAGACTTCTCAGAATGTTTTTTTTCTTCATTTGCATCTTCTTTTCTAGCTAACTGTGCCCCTTGCTATGGGTTTGCTTTAGCTGCAGTATTTCTATTGCTTTAACAGTTACAAAATAATTCATCACAAATTTGACGAATTAAAGAGTTTCCTCAAACTTACTCCCCAAACCTTTCTACTTGTCAAGTTTTATCATTAAAAGTTAAGACGGCAGCAACAACTAATACGTAATTCATAAGAATACTTGCAGAAAAATAGAGTGTAAAATACCAGAAGCTCCACAGCTGGGAAAGATTTTTAGCCGTGTATTATTTGTCTGCCTTCACATTGTGCATCAGAATTAATGTCCCTTACAGCTTTTCAGCCTAAAGAAGTCATTTTAGTAATAAAGCTATTGTTTGAGTAGTCTCCTTGGTGCAACTTAAGTTCAGTGAATTGAACATTCTTCTCCCACGTCTCTCCGTGCAAGATTCAGAACGTAAGACACAGCAAACAGAAGTAATCTTTGGGTCATGTGGTGCTGTTCAAGCCCCAGTGCAGTCGCTGCAGTCGCTGCAAAAACTGCATGCTAGTGATGTAATGGGCGAGCTTCAACTTGTCAGGAAACACAGTTCTGGCTCTGTGTTCACATCTGAGCCCCATATCCCTACATGTGTCCTGGACTTCAAAAATGGTTCATAGTTCTGCACTGGCAGCTAATTCAATAGATCACCAGTGCTGATCACCTTCAATATACACATTTGGAAGAAGTAACTACAGAAGGAGGTATTTTGCAATGAATGCTACTAATTAAAGTCTTTCCTTTTCTTGTGCTAACAAGTCTACAGCTAACATTGTTTCGTGAGCCTGTGAAGCTCTAACTTATATGTGTTCTGCAGAGCAGGATGTGAGAGTGTTTGCTCTGTGCCTCTTGTTTCTTGTCCTAGCACTGTAGAGACAAGAAGCTTTATATTAAATGGCAAAGCAATGCAGGTAAATGACTGTTTGCCCTTGCGTGCTTGATCAGTCTAGTTACTAATAAATGTGCCTGCCTTATGCATATTTAAACCCTGAAAGATTGTCTAATTGAACACCAGTAGTCACTAGTCATGTCATTTCCTCTGTGTGTGTATGTACGAAATGGTGAGTCAGAGCTCTGGGACAGTGCCTTGCAAGCAGGACTAGATCCCCACAGCACTGCTTGGAAAGAGGCTGGTATGTGTTATCCCCATTTCACATGAGAAGAATTTGAGACATGATGTGCCCAAGGGGAAAGAGCCAGAGTGGTGAGGATAAAAAAAAGCTCCTGGATCCCAGTCCTGAGTTTGGTTCTGTTGTTAACCTTTCATGCACTAATGACAACCCTCTACAAAATGTTTGTTTTAATGTAAAAAGAAAGATTATTTATGTGCATTTGCAACTAAATGGTTTCTGACTGAACAGAGTTAACTCTAAAAAGATTTTCCTTTGTTAATATTGCAGGGTCCTAGCTTAAGCGAACACGCTGTCATCTTCATCTTACACAGTTTGTTTGATTTGGATAGAGGTAAAACCTCTTTAAAGCCACTTTAAAAGCAGCAACAATCTGTGAAGACTTAGTCTTACATTTATTGCCACATGCTCTCAGTGGCACCATACACAGCGTGTATTCAGTCACAAAGGAAATGCAAAGCAGTGTCACAATTAGTTTCTCTCCACTTTTTGATCATGCAAGCTTAATTTAATTAGAAGGCATACTGAAGGGTTTAAAGAGTACTCTGCCTTTTTCATTTTCCTTTGCAAGCCATGGCTAATTGTTCCTGAGCAGCAGCTAAAGCTTTACACTCCCTCTCAGAACTATGGATGTAACTTCCTAAGTGTGTTCACCCAACTGTTGCTCATCTTCTTTAGACTGCTGGAGTCTCAGCTTCAGTCGCAGAAGAAGAGCCACGAGAATGAACTAGAATCGCTGCGAGGTGAGATCCAAAGTCTGAAGGAAGAAAACAATCGCCAGCAGCAGCTCCTAGCACAGAACCTGCAGCTGCCTCCAGAGGCCCGCATTGAAGCCAGTCTACAGCATGAGATCACCCGGCTGACTAATGAGAACCTGGTAAGGGAAATGATCTGCAGGAGTGGGCTGGGGGACTTACAGACTGCTGTGCCTGGGAGTTTTTATCAGTTTTCAGGTGCCAACCTCCTGCAAAGAACTGCATGAGTGCAGTGGGGTTTTTTGTAGGTAAGCTAATGGGAGAGGGACTTATGATTGCTGGTGAGCTAATAACGTTTCAGGGAGCTTGATCAAAGTTTGTTGTGTGGAGAAAGCTTGTGAATCCCAGCTTTCAACTGATGAGTTTAATTATTGCTAAATAGAATGATTGATATCCAGGGAGCTCATAAAAAATATTAGTGTCAAGTAGTGATGTTTCGTTTGAACTATATTAGTTTATTTGTTGAAAAACTCTGATGTAGTTCTTCAGTTATTTAATGTCACTTTTCTTCCCATTTCCCTCCTCCCTGCCTGAAGCTACACAGATAATCCACTGTGTTATGAGCTCCAGCTGTTCAGTATGTTCTGAAGAAAGAAATAGTTCCAGAAAGATAAACTTGGATAGAAGTAATTTAGCTAATAATTGGTATTCCTTGCTTACTACACAACATTTTCGTATGAAGGAAAGATCAGGTGAAACTCCTTACCTTTCTCTGCAGAGGAATATGTTCATCATGTGCAGGCTAATTCAATGCTGGGGAAATTTTCCAAGGAGGCCCATGTTGGAATACTGTTGGCTTATCACTGTTTATCGGTAAAGGGAACCATGCTACTTCAGGAAGAAAAATCCTAGTTCTGTGTGTCATTGCTTCCACTAAACAAGCCAAGGCGTAGTCTTTCCTGCGTATGTAAGTTACAGAAGTTATCGCTGCTGGGCTCTTGTCCTAGTACTAAAAGTTTTGAGGATAGCATCAGATAATTCAGTGAATACATCTTGGAAAACTGATTCAAACTATATTTTAAGTTTGCCTCAGCAGCAGCTGTCTCCTACTAGCAAAGGCAAAAGGCAAGTGTTTCCATCTCTGACAGCTCCTTCCTGCTGCTTAGTCATATGTTACAATTTTTAGCCTTCTCCCCAGCCCCCCCCTCCCCCCCCCAAGATCTACTCATCACATTCTGTGTTCCCAAGACAACACACAGTCACGTAATTACATCCCAGAGGAGCTCTCTTTATTTTCTAATACAGTGAATGTAATTTTACTTGTTAAATATAGACTCATTCCTTAGTATTTCGCTTCTGATGTTTGAGCATTTCAAGTCCATTCCAAGTCGGGAATATGCTTCCTCTCCACCCCTAGCCCTACAGTGGAAACAATTTACAGGCTTTTCAGATGTGGTATTAGAATTGTAGTATTCACTGCAATCCTGACTTGATTAGCATAAGAAAATGTCCTGCCCAGGTTCTCACAAAAGTTATGTTCCAGGCTTTCACAGTATTGGTACTGCCTATTTTTAAAAGACCTGACTTCTGCAACTCATCTACATCAGCTTCTCTCTGGGAGAGGCTGGAGTGAGCACCACGCTTAAGGATCAGACTACCTAAAAGTTAAGATATCCTTGATCTTGTTTTAATCCGATTTCATTTATACAGCACTTACTGAAGTATCAGTGTCTCAAAGGCAGGGGAAAAACCGTCCTGTACCTATTTTTACAGTTTTATGAGGAGTTGTATGCAGATGATCCCAAGAAGTATCAATCGTACCGGATTTCACTTTACAAACGGATGATTGTATGTAGATCACGTGAACCCTGTTCCTCTGTTGTCTCGTTCGCTATTTCTGGAGCACTAATTGAAAAGCAGGCTGCCTCCCTTTCTCCCTCTCAAAGGAAATCCCCTGCAGAGAGCTTCACGATGCCAATTTCTTCCCTCACTGCTTTTTTGTTAGTCTTAATGTCCTCTGTGTAATCTGTGTCTCTTTTTGATGCACAGTTTTGTTACTAATATAAGTCTTGCACTGTGACCAAAGCAGTTTCTTTTTGAATGCTATTTAATACTGCCCTGAAAAAGAGGTACATGATGCAAAAGATGCTCAATTTTCATAACCACTCTGCTTTGAAACTTTGATACATTTAAATTCAGTTCAGCAAAACAGAGGCCTGATCATACAGATACTTATGAAGGTGAATGATGCCTGCAGTTGTGAGTAGCCCAGTCTTAGCCTGAATTTGTTCATAGATCTCTTTACAGTGCTGACATCTGGAATGAATAAATCTATCAGAATCAAACTGTTTCATATTTTTCAAAAATGTGAAGTCTGAAGGATAACATTGGAAATACTACTATGTTGCCATAATAATTAAAGATAATAAATTGAGATAGCACCATATGTAATCTTGAAAGAACATAATTTATGAGATTCCAGATCTTAATGAGATGTGAAATCTGTTCAATTTGTTTAGAGGAACTGTAGAAAGAACTTTTTTTCCTCCTCACATATTTGTTGTTCAGAAATCATATCCCTTTACTGGTATTTTCAAAACAATCTGTTGGACTTGCATGTATTTTTTTGTATTAATTTCAGTAGAAATTATTATATCTGATAAGTATATTGTGTTAGTAACAGGATTTCTATTGTAATATTGATCACTACTTTGAATATGAAGCATGGCTTTGATTCTCTTCTTTTAACAGGCCTAATACTTACTGCTCCAGTAAGATTAGGTTGTAAAATATTGGATTGTAAACTCTTTATTTCATGATTGAGAGCAATTTTGTGCCTAATTCAAATTTGTTGCCAACGCTGCACTAATATTTTTCAGTACTTTTAGGAAAGGTTTAGTTTCCCAGATGATGATTTTGATGCAAGGAGCTCATAGTCCATTATGTTCTTATCAGTGCCATGAAGAATCACGCTTACAAAAGAGCATTTTTTTTAAGCTGCTTTTGAACCCTTAACCTGGAATCACTTTCAGGTTTTTTGAGCTTGAGGTTTTTGCTTCTTTTCAGAAGACTCCCCCTTTTTTAATTACATGATTATTTCATGTCTGCACTATGATAGGTCACAGAATTATTCAAAGATGGATTTCTGGGGAGTGCTCCTTTGAAAGAAAAATACAGCTTTCCTGCAAGAGTAGGACTTTTAGGTGCTAGGTGTTGTTCAGATACAGAATAAAAAGATGTAAGACCCCAGTTTCTGTCTAAGGAAATGCGGTGACAGCAAGTGATAGGGAGATGGCAGAGAATGACAAGTAACGTTCTGTTTGGATGCTTGATGATTTTGGTAAATTTGAGTGCAAGTTATGGTCTTTCTGCAGATCTCTCTCATAGTCTTATAAAATGGATAGGTCTGAACAATGAGTCAGTCCTGAAGGCATGAATAAATGATGCAGAAATACAGGCTAGCTGTTAAATAATAAAATTATTTCTGTGAGGCATTTGGAAGAGGCGGAAGGAAGCATTAGGGAGATGTGTTTGCAGCAAAATGTCTTCTGCTGTAAGGACTGACCTAGTTCTGAGTGTCTGCAGAATATACCTGCCTAAGAGCTTTGCCTTTGTCATGCTGCACATAACTTAATATTTGTGATATTTGGCTTGTGTTATAGGCAGTGTTCCAGCTTGCAAACCTCAGCCAGAGGATGGCACCACTGTTCAGCTTTCCTCACCGCCTTGTAATTCTAACAGCACTGATTTTGTCTCTGTCACACGTTATGGCATCTTCTCGTACCTTAATCTTTCTTTTATTTTAATTTACAGGATTTAATGGAGCAGCTTGAAAAGCAAGACAAAACTGTTCGCAAGTTAAAGAAACAGTTGAAAGTATTTGCTAAGAAGATTGGTGAACTTGAAGGTACTTTTATATTTTGAAAGGACGAGAAAGATTTTGGTTTACTTTTTGTGATCCCATTGTCATCATATCCATCTGTCTTAGCGGCTGCGAGGGCATGAGGTCTTCAGTAGTGTTAGCCTCTGTTAATTGATTCCAGAAACAGGAGATGGACTCAGAGCTCTGTGTGTTCCTTTATAAACCTTTAGAATATTTGTCATATTTTGAAGCAATGAGTAAAAGGAGACTGATGTTTCTCTGAAGGCAGAAACCATTGAAACATAAAAGAATGGTACCTGGCCTATTTGTGTTCTCAAAGACAGTATCTGGTTTTGTAAAGACAAAAGCAATACTAAGTATGAAGCAGGCAGAAATCATTTACCCCATTTTCCTTTGTGAATTTCTGTATCATTGGGCCCAAGAATGGTGAGACTATCTTTCTCCGCTTGAGGCTTCTTTTCAGAGCTGCTGGCCAAACTTGAATGTGAGAAGGCTGAGAGATGGACTAAGCTAATTTTATTTTTATGAGTGTCAGAGCGAATTGCCTTAGGATCTTAGGACAGGTGAGACCGAGAGCTTATTATGGCTCTGCATAAGTAAAGTAATTTTAATTGCTAAAGGTAATTAATAATGTTATAAAGTTGAAGTATGAATTTGTTTTTAAGTAATCCTGGTCCTAATCTTTCAGAAGCTTTTTATGGTCATCTGCTTCCTCTGGAAACAAGCTCACTGCCTAATGAGTTATTTATTGAGTACTAAGACTGAAATTAGTGACTGTGTAGTCTCCAGTGCTTCAGTGTTTGAAAAGAATAGTGATAATGTCAAGTTAAACCTGGATTAACAGGAGAGTATTATCCTTTAACTAGCAGCAGCTCTCCTCGAGCTCCTGTTTGGATTTCTGCATTTTCTATCCCACTTGTCAGGTGCACACATTTAGCACGCTTACAGGATGTGCAATAGTTTGTAGGGATTGCATGCAGCTGGGAGGGTTGTGAGAAGAGGATGTAGCTTTCATGGGATGAAGCCAAGTTTTTCTTTTCAAAAACAAATGTGCAGCCTAATCAAGTGAGGTGTAGCTGTTGAATGTGGTACTGTGAGGCAACAAGGTGGATATTTCATATATCCTTTTGAAAGGTTACTCAAATTAAGGTTGTTTTTAAGAAGTTTTTCAGTATTGTTTGGTTACTACTGTGGACAAGATTACAGCAGTATTCATCCAAAATATGGAGTGGGAAAAATTTCTGAAAAAATACTTTAGTCTGTGTTTATTACCTAATTAACTTAGAAAGATGTAGTGAGTCTGGCTGGGATGGAGTCAACTTTCTTCATAGCCGCCTGTATGATGCTGTGTTTTGGATTTGTGGCTAAAACAGTGTTGGTAACACACCGGTGTTTTGGCTGCTGCTGAACAGAGCTTGCATGGAGTCAAGGCTTTCTCTGTTTTCCCACTCTGCCCCCTCAGTGAGTAAGCTGGGGGGTGTGGGAAGGCACACAGCTGGGGCAGCTGACCTGAACTGGCCAAAGGGATATTCCATATTCCGTACCACCTAACGTCGGGAGCCAGAAGAGGGGTTTCTCATACAAAGTGGCTGCTGTTTGGAGGCTGGCTGGGCATCAGTCCCCCTGGGGTTGGGGGGGAGCATTAGTGATTGCCTTTGCTTTGCTTTCCCCCCCTCTCTTTCCTTCACCTGTTAAACTATCTTTATCTCAGTCCACACATTTTCTCACTCTTGCTCTTGATATTCTCTCTCTTGTTCTGCTAGAAGGCCGGGGGGGAGCTGAGCCAGTGTGGGTAAGGTAAACCTACCACAATAGGTAATAAACATCACGGTTGAAAAATACTGGCATTTTGCAGAACAATTAACAGTGACCCTTGCAGTATTAATCTGGGATTAAGGGATTAACAGCTATTGCTCCACCTTTGTGGCTAGTGCTTTGCCTGTGATAAAATCCAGGAGATCAGCAGTAAGTCTCTATTAATGGTTGCCATTCACCCAATTCCACTCTTCCTCAAAGGAAGAATGCTACCCCAAGATACATTTATCCATAGTCTTTTTGTTTAATGGGAGTTTTGTTGCTAAGTGTTACCCTGAACCAAAGAAAACATTTCTTAGTTCGATATGCTGGAGTTCTTCCTTATAAGTGTTATAGTTTCCTCTGACGTGAATTGGTTTCACTGGAAAATATTATATTATATAATTTCTTTTCATTTCCCCTCTGAAGTGGGCCAGATGGAGAACATATCACCTGGACAAATCATCGACGAACCTATTCGTCCAGTTAACATTCCACGGAAGGAAAAGGACTTCCAAGGGATGCTAGAATATAAGAAGGAGGATGAACAAAAACTTGTCAAGAATCTTATTTTAGGTAAGTATCTTCCTCATTCGCAGCCTCCTCTGCTCCCACACACTCTGAAAAATGAACTATAAGAACACAGAATTTGCATTATGAAATTAATAGCTTATTTTGATTTGACGGTGTTCAGTTTATCTAAAATTACTAAATGCCTATTGCAATGTAATCATGCTTCCTGATGAATTAGTACATATTAATGTGTCTGCATATTTTTTAGCAGGCAGTTATGTTTTATTCTGTTCTGATAGTTACCAAGAAAGTGGCTCTTCTTAGTTTTCACTGGCTATATATAGATATGTGTGTACAATTAACTGGGGAGGTTGTGATTACCATATATAACACCCTCCAATGGCTTTATACTTAAAGAAACAACATGTGTTTGTTTTTCCCAAGAGCTGAAACCACGTGGGGTAGCCGTCAACCTGATTCCAGGACTACCAGCATACATCTTGTTCATGTGTGTACGTCATGCGGATTACCTTAATGATGACCAAAAAGTGCGGTCATTGTTGACTTCTACTATCAACGGCATCAAAAAAGTATTGAAGGTTAGTTAGTCTGCTTGGTTTAGGAAAACATTAATTTAAAATTTGCCTTTGATTTTATGTTAGAGGAGTGAGGAAAAGACTTTCAATGAACTGGCTCTGGATTTCTGACCAGTGAAGTCCTCCCACCAAAGTTACAAAAAGTTGTTAACAAGCAGCAAATTACAGTGATAGCATTTTATCCACATAATACCACAGATGGTTTGAATTAGTGGAAAAACAACTACCTTTTTATTTTGAATAGACTTCCTCCTCTGAAGCTATGCCTGTAAAGCTTTGGATGCAGTCAAAGTTTGCATAGTGAGTCTTTGTAACCCAGAATTTTAATTAAATATGTTTCATTTGCAGTTTTGGTTCACAGATTTCCTCATTTGCTTCACCTACAGATTACACTGATGATAATATGTTATGGCCTAAAGTCTTCACAATGAGTTGGCTAGGAGAGTTTACTCCAGGTGTATCTTGAAAGCAATATTAAGACATAAATATGCTTTATGCTTCATGGAGTTTTACAGTTTTTAAAATACATCAGATGTGCTCCAAACCCAAGCATTTAATCAAACTACATGTTTTGAAAAAACGTTAATAAACAATCCTGAGGAGCTTAGATATTCATAGACACTTTTGGACACACTTAAGTGAATGCAGCACATGCTACAGAGCTCTAGAAATTTTAATTACTCAGCATATACTAGATGGTATGTTTTTTTGGAGAGGAGGGCTTTTTGTTTGTTTTCCGTATCAGATAGCCAAAATGGTTATGATGTAAATGACATTCATGCAAACTGAATTGCTCTCTGCTCCTCCTGATGGCCCTGCATCATTCCCATCCTCCGTGTTGGGCTCTTCGCAAGTCATTATGCTGCAGAATGAATGTTTTGGGAATACAGTCAAGTTGTCCTGTGATTTCTCCAGAGCAGTTAGGATGGGTCTGTAAAACACAGAAAGATTGTATCTGTGATAGAAATCATATTTCAAAATTTTTGAAAAACATTACAGAAAACAGGGAGGGTCTTTAATGGCATTTTGTCAAAAACATTGCTTTTCTAATGTGTTACTGAAATACACAAAGTTTTGCAAAACATCAGAATCTGAGTAGCTACAAGAAAGCAGAATTTAAGTGTTTAGTTGTTTATCTAACACTTTATTCTTTTATTCCTCCTACCAATCTTTGTTGAAATGTGTTTGTGTTTATCTTCAGAAAAGAGGTGATGACTTCGAAACAGTGTCCTTCTGGCTATCTAACACCTGCCGATTTTTGCACTGTTTGAAGCAATATAGTGGAGAAGAGGTAAGCAGTGCTCCTACTCTGGTTTCTTTTGCTCTACAATACTATTGTGAGCACTACTTTTTAATAAATTCCTGTAATATCTCAATATCTAGTCAAAGTCTCTTAAAACAGCTGCACTTCTTGGAATGATGGTGATGATGTCAGTGGAAAGCATGGGGAGATAAGATTTGAACCAGTTTCCCTTTATTGCTAGCTGGGAGCCCAGAGGCTAGGGGACATTGTGCTCCCCAAAGTGCCAACTCAGATTAAGAAGGAGAATCTGGCAGTGACCATTGTAATGTTTAGTAATGATTCACTGAACTTCCTACAAAAAAAGCTGTATTAAGCCCTTTAACCATAGTATGGCAGACCACTTTGTTTGGAGCCCATGGGATGCCTAATTTCTTCTTCATACTTAACTGGGATTTTGGCTAGAAATGGCTAGGTGAGAATGCCCATGCTGGAGTGGCAGGGAAGGGTCTTACCTGCCAGAAAGTGGGCAGTTTGTTCCTGTGTCAGATAATTTGAATTTGCAAGTCAAGGGAGCAGACGTGGCACAAGTCACAATGAAAAGCAAATCTTAGCATTAGCCTCAATCAGAAGAATTTCCAAATTAAAGTTTTGAGGGGCCGTGACTATTATTTTGAAAGTATCACTTGTCAGTTGCATGAAAAAATATCAATACTGGGTTTGTGTAATATTTTAGTATTTCGTTGAAGCATTTGTTTCTGTTATCTTATGAATTCAGGGGTTTATGAAGCATAACACACCTCGTCAAAATGAACACTGCCTCACTAATTTTGATTTAGCTGAATACAGACAAGTACTGAGTGATTTGGCTATTCAGATCTACCAACAACTTGTCCGAGTGTTGGAAAACATTCTGCAACCAATGATTGGTAAGGCAAAGTTGAATTCCTTAAACTTCATACCGTAGTACCAAAATTAAAACTGTCATGGTGGTAATATGGTACATCTTGTATTTTGTCCTAGCCGGTAGAGTTTTATTAATAGTTCTTGTGGTATTCTGTTTATAGATGACAAGGACTACACTGGACAGGCTGGGTTAGGGGGAAAACTGAACTGGGGCTGGTTCTTCTGGCAGTGACAGAATAAATTGATTTACCGTATTCATACTTGTCATAAATCATGCATTTACAGAAAGAAACTGTTAGGACAGTCTGACACTGGCTGCCCTGTGTGTTGGGAAATATCCTGTGGAAAAACTGGACTTTAATTAAATGATAACTTGTAATGAAAATTAATATGGAGAAAAATGTCTGGTTGTTGCTATGGACAGCAGTCAGCAGTGAAATAGCCAGCAGTGATGAAGCTTAGATTCAGAGATTTTTTTTTCATTAAAAATGCTCTTCATTTTTCTTGTCAGACAGTACTCTCACACAAATTTTCATTATGCTTTCCAATCACACCATTTAGAAGAATGAAACAGCTCTTGGTTTGCTGACTCTGCTGCTCACATGACCATGGGAAGAAAAAAATATTTTGCTGAGCTAGAGTTAGACCTTTCAAATGGGCATGCTGGAATCTTCTAAAAACCCTGTAAGCTTAGATTTTGCAGAACATAGTGGGACACAGAGAATTGCTGGAAATCATGGCAAAGTGTGGCTAGCAGAAAGCCCAGCCTGCTCTTTCTATGTAAATACTAAGTTTTGCTGTTGTGCACAATATGCTTGCATGTAGGAATTTTCAGTCATTATAATAATGTTGTCAATCAAATGCAGTTTCAGGAATGCTGGAGCATGAGACTATCCAGGGTGTCTCAGGGGTGAAACCAACAGGGCTGCGGAAGAGAACATCCAGCATTGCTGATGAAGGAACCTACACTTTGGACTCCATTATTCGGCAGCTGAACTCTTTCCATTCAGTGATGTGTCAGCACGGAATGGATCCAGAGCTGATCAAACAGGTTGTCAAGCAGATGTTCTACATCATTGGGGCTGTAACACTTAATAATCTTCTCCTGCGCAAGGACATGTGCTCATGGAGCAAAGGAATGCAGATAAGGTGGGAGAGCTCATTTTATACTTTTCTTGAATGTGCTGATGGAAATCTTAGTGAACTCTTGACACTGGTGAACATAATTTTGATAGAATAGCATCAAATATTTATTTTGAATATTTATTTTTCCACACAAACAGCTGCAAATGCTGTTAAACTGATCTTGAGTCATTCAGTTAAAAAGAGCTTGGTTAATTTAGGCCAAATCCTACCTGGCTTTCAAGGAAATGTGATATAAGCAAACCAAAAGTATTTCATCATTAAGTAGGAATCAGAACTGTAGGTGAAATGTTGGTGGTTGCTTTCTCAGCTTTCAGAGAATAATAATAAACATGCCTGCTGCATTCATTGTATGCTAGTGTCTCAGTGGATACCTGCTGTGGCCATCCACACTGTGCTTTGCTGCATCCTGCGGTAAAGCCATTTTATTCTATTCCTGAATGTGGCATCAGTTGTATAATGCATTCTACTGGCACAGGCCAGGAAATTTAACCAAGGCATTCCAGTCTCTGAAGTAACCTTGAAAAGCCTCACTGTACATTTGCATGGACAAAATCTCATTTGCCTTTCTTCTTATACTTGTCACATTCCTGCAATATTAATTGCAATATGAATATTAATTCTGTTCTTCTTAAAGAACAGAAACAAATGGGAAAAGCTAGGTAGTGGATGTCCTTGGCCATAGTTCTGAACTGGTTTGAAACTCATGATTTCCTGACTTGATCAGAAGGAAATGGCGTGAAGACAAAATTAGAAGAATGACAAGTTTGAAGGAAAAAGGACAAAGAAGAAACACTGGGAAAGAGACATTGTGCATGCTTTTGATTTAGCCATAATCAAGCATTAATATCTTGATACTTGTACCTCTCCATACAGATACAATGTGAGTCAACTGGAAGAATGGCTACGTGATAAAAATTTGATGAATAGTGGGGCTAAAGAAACACTGGAACCCCTCATCCAGGCTGCACAGTTGTTGCAAGTAAAAAAGAAAACAGATGAAGATGCAGAAGCCATTTGTTCAATGTGCAATGCGCTGACTACTGCCCAGGTGAGCAAACTCTCATTGTCTGTTCTGCTGTCACTTGTGAGCAGTTCTCTGCTCTGTTGGTGTTTGCTGTGCCTGCCTGCACTGCTGCCGCACATGGACTGAAGATTTCTTACCTTGTTTTGAAGATTTTTTTACTTTGTTTAAATGAAAACAGATTGAATTGGAGGGGTAAAAAAAGGACCAGATCTTTTCTGAGGTCTGATGTTCAAGAGAAGTTTTGACCAAATGAGAGGAAGCTCAATAGACTGTGCAGTGTGTAGTACTACTATAGATAGTCTCTTGGTTTGAGAAAGTCCTTACAGAAAACTCTTCACTCTGAGATGTCTCACTACTCCAGGCAACTCTGCCTAGGATACTAGGATATTACCTGTCTGCCATCGGAGTTAGTATCCAGTTAAGTTAATAGACAGTTCACAAAGAGCTGTTGTCTCAGGGTCTGCAAACAAAAGTGTTAAGTTACTGTACCCATTAGTCTCAGAAAGGCTCAACCAAGTGTATCTCAGGAAACTGCTGAAGATGTCTATTTACAAAAGCTTAGATTTTGTACAGATAAGTTGCACTTTTTTTTTAACCGTGCTACATTTGCATAGAGCTTGTACAGGAATAACTGGATCCAAGCATTTTTGAAGATTACTGAACATTCCCATCAGGAAAAGGAAGAAATTTCTCCTTTTCTTTCACAATGGTGTTGGCACTAGCGGTTGCATTGATATAGCCGTTTTGATTTAGTAATTCACATTGCTGGAAAATCTGTTAGTTTTGTACTGAAATAAGAAGTTAGAATTCCACATGCTTCAAGTGTTTTAACTTTGTTAAAGAGAGCTGTGGGTTTTTTTAAGAGAGAATCATGAAAACAAAGAGAATTTTTATAAGTCTAAGGTTTAACCCATATTATTATTTTAAAGTCTTTGTGTTGCTGTTCTTTCCTGTAGTGGCTTTAGTCCTATTTTTAGAGAAATAGTTCGCACCCTTGAAAAATAGTGAAGTCATAAGACTCTCTTGAATGGAAGCTACAAAAGGTCATAATTATAGGGTCAAAATTAGGGAGAGAAATACAGCCTGTTTCTAGGGGATGTAGGAACACAATCTGTTACTTACCATCTGATTTTTCCATAGTTTGGTATTTTCCACACACATGTAGCAGTTTAGTTTATACCTCCAAAAAACACATGTTCCAAAGGAGGCAGTCTTATGTGTATTGTATTATATTACAGATACATAATTACATATTATTATAGTTCTATATTACAACTATATATAGTTACATATATATATCACAGTCATATATATATTATATATAGTCGTAGCATTAAGCAGGTGATGGAATTCAGTAAAGCAAATAATAACAAATACTTGTAAAGAATTTTCTTTTTAAAATCACTAATTTAAAAAGTATATTATTAGTAACTGTAGATGCATCTGTTGATTCATCAGTAAAATGAACCTAAGAATGCTTGTTCTTCTTCACAGATTGTAAAAGTTCTGAATTTGTATACTCCGGTTAATGAGTTTGAAGAGAGAGTCTTGGTATCATTTATACGTACAATACAGGTATGGCCATGTCTTTTCATCAGAAATCATTTGACTGTTTCTACGAAACCCACTGATGAGCCAGAATAGCTTGTGTCCTGAAATACAGTAAATAGGCTTTGTAGCTATCGGTTTTTAGCTATGTTGAAAAGGCGATTGTCAGCCTTAAAATCTTAAGCAATCACAATTTACTGCCTCCAGACTTGCATGAAAATGTTAGTTTCCCTGTCAACATGCATGAGATTTTTGGAAGGTGAGAGTTTTTTGTGCTTATGCATCTTTGTCTATGTAAACACACTTGTATGCCAACTTTTCAAGTGGTAACGTTTGTATATGCAAATTGACTTTTGTCAGACCTCTGTCTGCATGAGAAGTTCCAACTGCTTTGAAAACCGAGCCCTATGTTCAGTCCCAAGTTCTTCATGTAGCCCTTCTACTTTTATATATATTGATGAAAATGAAATGTTTTGAAAACTCCCAAGAAAAGCAGCCAGTAGAGCAAAATAAAAGAAACAAAGATGATCTTTCTGGTCTGTTAGAAATTGAATTACTAGCAGGATAAGGGAGATTGGGAAGGTAGAACTGAGGAGTATTTTTTTATATATTCCACTGTAATTCCTCTTATGGAAAAGATGCAGTTACCAGATAGTGGGCAAATTCTTCCTTTTGCAGGGAATCTAAACATCTCCAGGTTGCATTGTAAGGGGGAAGATATGCAGAACCAAAAATGATGAAAGTACCTACATTTTAATGGCACGATTGTTGCGAATGTGTCAGGCCAAGTTAGCATGGAGTGTGTGTCTGTACACACACGTGTATCTGTAAGCGCAGATGAAATACTACCTCTTTGCAGGATGATTATTATCAATGAAGTGGCTAAATGCTAATGTAATCACTTTCTTATCTTTGCAGATGCGTCTGCGAGACAGGAAGGACTCTCCTCAGTTGCTCATGGATGCTAAACACATCTTCCCTGTTACTTTTCCATTTAATCCATCCTCTCTGGCATTAGAAACCATTCAGATCCCAGCCAGCTTGGGGCTGGGCTTCATATCACGTGTCTGATCCCAAGGATGTACCGTCAGTGTTAGATATCAGTTGCCTGATATCTTTACCCATTAAAGCATAGTGAGCTACTGAAAACACGTTTTCTGAACAAACAGTCTATATATGCCCAGATCTATAGTAAAAGTAGCTGGAAAACTACATAACAGCACCACAGATTGAAGGCTGATAGAAAGATGTGCATTTGTGTTCAGTCATTGCATTTATGAGGACATCACTGATTCATACGATTCCAGAATATGGAAATCGGGCTTGGACAAAAATTGTGTCTTCAGCTGTCTAGAGACATTTTTAGATCTTTAGTAAAATATTTAAATAGTGTAAATTAAACTCCACATGTAATCTTCTCACAGGCAGGGACCAACAGGGACAGTCACAGTCCTGAACATGGAAGACTTGAAAGTAAGGCATTTTGCAGTAGAATACACAGTCACTTGGGAGCCTGTTACATTTAATTTGTAAAAACGGGAATGGAGAAACACAAACTGGCAATATATAAACTGATTTCTTAAACCACTTCCTTATTTATGTCAGTTTGACATAAATTCTAGTGATAAGTCTTACAGCTCACTATATGCTATAACTTAGGTGTTCATTTGTTAGTACTGTGGTTTACTGAGCATACTAAATCGCTGCTGCATATTGTGTTCTTTTAAACGTATGACAGTATCACACTAGGCACTGAAAATAAGATACTTCATTTTTTGTTGTCAACCTTATTTACAGTCTGATGCAGCCTGTTACTTTAACTGGATTTTTGCAAATGGTATCAAATAACACCTGTAGAGGAAAATGGTAACTAAGCACAAGTAGCACACTGGAAAATACATGTTTAGTTGTTTTTAAATGTAGTTAGCTAAAAATACAGAATCTTGAAGCAAATTATCAAAGTCAATAATGATTTTAGTATTTATTTAGATTTCGTAGTCTGTCTAATGTTGTTCTTTGTTTGTAGACCCCAGAGAGGACAGTGTGTATTTTGAGTATAATATCTTTTGTTTTGTTGCCACTCAAGAAAAAAAGTATTCTTTCATACTGGAATTTGAGAGGAAAAACTTTAACAGAAAATTTCTGCAGTAGCCCAAGGCTCTCATTCTTTGAAAGGTTGACTAACAAGAACGTTAAGTAGGTTTTGACTATGATGCTGTCATTTGACTATGATTCATGCTGATGTAATCAGATCCAGAGTGCATAATGAGAAACTGAGTTATTCTGGATATTGCACATCTTACTGCAAAGATTTTTCTGTCTCACACGTCTTGGATCTGCTGTACAGAATTCACAGTTCACAATGTGCAACGTAAGGGCAGAAGCCTTGCTGAAGGTTGCAGTTCTGAACTTTAAAGCAGCTAGTTTGTGGTGTATGGGTCAAATACACGTGTGGAAAAAAGCCACACACATTGCTCAATTGCATTGTGCAATATTTTTTATGTATTATAACAATTAGCAACTTAGCATTAACATTCATTTCTTTTCAAATACTGAGAAATAATCTAGAGGTACACTGTTAGACTATTTGGTACTGATCTGTTTGCCTGCAAACTCACAGAAAAAAATGTGCTGTTAAGCAGGCTGAAACATTTCAGGTGTGCTTTACTTGAGAGGTAGACATGCTGTTTGTATGGTTGCTAGAATTGCTAGTAAAGACAACCTAAACTTTGTCAGTATCATTTTAAGATGCTCATGTCGTCTTTATTTTCAAATGCGTATGCCCCATATGATGTTTGATGGTTCATGGCAGTACTTCCAAGAGCCTAACACTGCATTGCGTGGAAGTTTTGAATGACCTTTGCTAAATGATTTAGGTTGTTTTCCTGTGCGTGGTATACCAAACACTCTTGTTTCAAATGTTACTTGATTTCTGAAACTACGGCTGCTGCTGAGTGGCTCCAAATAAGGCATAATGTAGTTTTCAGACTGTTATGGGTACTGTACTTGTGAGAATGTAATGGGAAAGCCTTCACATCCAGTAACAAGGCTAGGAAAGAAAATAGGTGAGAACATGCTGACCTATGAAACTTTTCTCCTATTGAATAACCAACAATTGGCATCACAGTATGTTCATACTGTAGATCAGGAAATGTATCCACTACTTAAGCGTTAGGGTATTAAAATGTAGGCCTAAAATGTATTTTTATTTTTTTAAGTTTGTTTACCTGTAAAAAGCCTTATTGTATCTTGTTTCCTTAAAAAAGTAGTGTTTAGTAATTTATAGGTATTATCCTTAAACTCAGTGGTTTGACTGGTATTACTTTTATATCACATTAAAAGTATATGCTGCTTGACATGTTTTAAAGGAAAATATTTTTAAGTTGGAATAGATGTGTAATTGGTAAGTCATCTAATGTTTTACACGGCAGTATTTTACATGCACTTTTCAGAAGTAACATTTTAGTGTCGGTGTATAATATATCTCTCACCTTAGGACTAATATCTCTTTAACCATGGAATATAATGCAGAGTTATTTTAACAACTGGGTTTTTTTCCTTTGAATCATTGTTATGCTCTTTTAATGTGGACATATCTTTTATATTTTAATTTATTATCTATTGCTATGATAGATTCTATCGGATGCTGGAAAAATACTTGTCAGTGACCCCTTAGAATTATATACAGTTATTCTAGAGATTTCGCACAATAATTACCTCATTCAATTTGGTGTATTTTTATTCCAGTGATCATTTTATTCTGATGTTTAGGACACAGTCTTCTATCCAAATTCTGAAAAAATGCTTCTCAGACTTCAGTCTGGGATGCAATATGAAAGTGCTTAAGTCCGTTAAATGTGATTGATCTATTCTATCACAGAAAAAAAATAGGATCAACTTCATTGTTCAAAAGTGGATTGATATCCAGTAACATTTGCTCCCAACTTGGAAACACCAGCATTTGCAATTTGAAGGTCTGTGTAATTTGTGATTTAAACTGAACACATTTCAAATACCGTACAAAAACTATGAGTAGACACTGTTGGTTTTTTTTAAGATTCTGATACTTCATGTGATAAAAGCCTTTAAACAGAGGTTTTCACTCGATGCCACTACAGTACATAGATGAAAACCAAAACATTGTCAGAATGACCTGAGCTCTGATCTGTTGTAGTGTCTGATGTTGTACTTAGTAAATGTATGCATCATAAAAATTGTAGCCTAATAGCTATCACTGGAAAACGTCCAAATAAAAATACAACTGTAAGAGTGGCTGTGGGGTTTTTTGTTTGGTTGGTTGTTGGTAAGCTGTGTGCTGGCATGTTCCCCAGACGATCACACTGGCTCCCTCCACCTCCATGGCAGACGTGGTGTTGCCTGCCCAGGGAGTTGGTTAAAATCCAGGGATTGTATAAATACACACCCAGATACCGACACTGTGCCCTCAACTCCTGTGCGTATGTGAAGATATTTTGTTCGACATAACCCACTTCTGTTGGGATATTTTGTTACCAAATATTAACTGTTACTGAAATGAGACGATTTGCGCTTTGCTAGAACGCAGTCGGCTGTGCGGTGAAAGCCCTTCGGTGCCAGCAGGGCCGGTGGGCCTCTGGGCACAGACCCGCCTGCCCAGACCAGGTACGACGTTAATTCAAATCTTCTTTCCATAAAGAGGATTTAAATAGAACGCCTATTGGTGCCCTAAGCTTAATAAATGCATTCCGAGTTGTTTAGTACAAGTTTGAGAGACTCCTTGGTGGCCTTGATGGACGGTGATTAATGTTTCTGTCGTTTTTACCTACTCGGTCAGGAATGACCCCTCCGGCAGCTGGAGCGGCCATTATTCCTAAACCCTCAAGAAGTACCCAAGGTGCCAGCTTTCCCGGGACCATTTTAAAGCCTCTACCTGTACACGATAACTGGGACTCCTCCTCTCCTCTCCACCACACTCTGCTTCTCA